ATCCAGGGACTCCAGGATCATGACCTGAGCCGCAGGCAGTCAAGGCAGTTGCTTAACCAACTGAGCCACCCAGGCGCCCCAAGAGGTACGATTTTTTTAAGGGGAAAAGGGCAACGTTTTGAAGGCTCTAATAAACTCCAACTCCATTGGAGTAAACTGGGAGTTTGAAGAACAGTGGCTTCGCATCGGCTGAGCCGTTGGGTGGGATGATCAGGAAAGCCTGTCTTTTTGGGTCTGGGGTAGTGAAGTACTTTGGCAGTATAAGGTCAAGTCTGTCTCTTCCTCTTGGGTCTGACTCCATTTTGGTGAGGTTTCCCATTATTAATTTTCACAGGTCCTAGCAGCCAAAGAGATGGAGGCTCCCATCATCCGGATGGAAGTTACCAGTAGGTTGATTGTCCATGGGGATACCTAAGTTGTTTTGACATTGTTTACAATCTCTGATGTTTCAGAGAAGTATGAGTGATGGCAAAAGGTGGGCAGCTGGACAGGAAAGTTTGGGAAACGGGGAAAGATTCAGGATGGAGAGTTAGAAAAGTGATGGCTATTGTGTGGACCAGGGTGGATTTGGATCACATTTAGGAAGGGAATGCAGAGCAGAGTGGCAATGCAACTGGTAGGTCGGAGGGTCTTGGCAAAGTGTGCTTGAGAGTGGTATTGTTCAGGGGCGCTTGGGTGGCTCAGTTGTTAAGCGTCTGCCTTTGGCTCAGGTCATGGTCCCTGGGTCCTGGGATCGAGCCCCGCATCGGGCTCCCTGCTCCGCGGAAGACCTGCTTCTCCCTCTCCCGTTCCCCTTGCTTGTGTTCCCTCTCTCGCTATCTCTCTCTCTGTCAAATAAATAAATAAAATCTTAAAAAAAAAAAAAAAGAGTGGTATTGTTCAGCACCTGGTTGGGTTTGCTGGGCATTGCCAACACAGGTGGTGAAGGAGAAAGAATGATGTGGCAGATACATGGGCAAACCTTCCATGGAATGATGGGACAAGAGATAGCTAGGACATCTAGGAGTATATTTCTTTTTTCAGTAGTCTCCATGCCCAGTGTAGAGCCTAGCATGCGGCTTGATCTCTTGACCCTGATGAAGACCTGAGCTGAGAGCAGGAATCAGACCCTTAACCCACGGAGGCACAGAGGCGCCCCCTGTCCAGGAGCATTTGAGAGTCTGGAGATGCACTTTATTCAGTGGTGTAGGGCTTCAACAGAAATTTGGTGTGAGTTTGTGTGGTGTTTGTAGTGTTTCAAAGTTTTGCTGCTGGAAAAGGTCTGGGGCAAATGTGGTCATTTGTGATTCACTATGCTGGGCAAGGTGTATTTACAAAATTTCAGTTGAAAGTGGAGTATCTAATTGTTGAGGGACAGTATGGGCAGCAGAGAAGTAGACGAGGGTCCATGAATATCCTAGGTTGACATGTGGTTGTGAGTGTCTGTTATTGAAGGGAGGATTAGAGGGAGGCTAGGAGGGCTTCTCAGCATTTGAGGCTTTCCCTCAATTGGGATCCCTGAGAGTCCTGGGGTGGGACTGGAACCTGTTTGAGTTTGTCAAACATCCTTTGGATGTCATGTGACAAGCACAAGTGTGAGTCAAGGGAGGATCCTTTGGTGTGGGGCAGGAAGGTGTGGGAGTTCATCTGTGGGGCCTGAAGACGTGAGAGTGGTACAGTCTACAGAATCCTGTACACATGGAGTGTCAGCTAAAGGCCTCAGTGCCCTGGTAGTGAAGACTTCCTGGTAGAGCAGGGCCTATAATTGGCTGTCTTGAGGGCGCACAACCTGGGAGACTCCATGGGAATATCGTGGCAGAGGGATGGGACCTTGCAGGCCAGACCCAGAGCTTAGAGTGCAT